GACTTGAAACTTGCATCAAAAACGGGGTTCGCTGAGGTCAGAGTAAAGGAAGCCGAGGGCCATTTTCCAGTAGGCTTCCAGTGTTTTTGTTGAGTGAGTTGCCACCTGCTGGCCATTAAAAAAGATGCACCTTTAAGGCACTTCCACACTGGCATTGTTTTTCAAACTAAAGTCAGAGTACTCACTGTCAGCTTTAAAGTAGTTTACATTCACAGCAAGTTGATGCAATGGTTTCACTCATTTTATACATACCACTCAATTATAGGTTAAAGCAGCAAACTGTATAAACATGTTAAAGTCAAAACATTTTGTATATGTCGTGTTAAAACTTTTGCAGTCAATTAACAAACCACAGTTTACATTTAGCACTAGTTAAAAATAAGTCAATTAGTGTAAAAATTATTTTTTCAAAAGCAAACTATGGTATTATATAACAGAGAATATGCTTAAATTAAAACTCAAATTTTGCTCCAAATCTTCCTTGCCGGGTCAGTGTTCAGAGCAAAATAAAAAACTGACATAATTTCTTAGCTAAATTGTGCTTTCACTGCCTCTTTTCTTATTCTGTCCATTATAAACTCTAAATAAGCAGAAGGAAAGCACTGCGGCAAGGAGCATGACAAAAAGAAAGATGAGGGATCCCCACACTCCTGGGGTCAGGGCCTTTCTCAGCTCCAGTTGCTCTGCTGGCAACAAATTGCTTAAACTCAGCATGTAGCCCAGAGCCCAACCCACCATGGTGTCAGCAACCTGCAGGGTCAGCAACATAATGATGTGAATATATTTGGATCAACTCCCATCCATTTGCAATGGAGCATTGACATGTTTTGTTTTGAACTGTAAAGAGATAATAATCACCTTCTTCTGAAAAGAAATGTGTGGGAATGTTGTGTCATTGAAACCATATCCTCTCAACATGAGAGTATTGAGAAACACAGAGGCAGCACAGTAGTAATGCAAACGGGACTTTTGCTCTGGAGCGAGAAGCATCATCTGGAAAAATACAATAAATATTTTCACATGCTGCCAGAAACAGATGTCCTGGATAAGTAAAGCATGAATAGAAAAGGTGATTACTTGGGTGAAACTCATGCTGCACACTTTTTTGGTCACATCCTGTAGTTCTGAAGGAGAGCTAGCAGTTATGCCAGTGACTTGCTGAAGGAATGAGTGAACATAGAAGAAAGCAGAGAAAGCCTGAAAACAGAAAAGGGAAAAGAAAAAAACTTGTATGTAAAAAGTGATACAGCTACAGCACAACAATCAAATAAAAGTTAGCCATGTTGAAAGGCAACCGTGTAAAGTTAATCATATTCAGCAACGTCAAGCAACTGCAGAGTTGATTGACCTCTGACACCGTAGGAAACGCATTAGAGGGTTACACAGGCAACCGGAGCCTGGAATTAATACTAGTGGCCAACCATCAGGGTCATCCTGTGTGGATGGAACTTCAAGTTATGTTTTGATTTATATGCACTTACCACTTAACATCAGTACAGTTAAATGGTAGCTCACCCTGGATAGAATATAAATGCTTTCCACTCAAGATCACGTTGGTGCGATATGCCTTCTCTTGAATATAATAGAACTATGGGGTATCTAAAAGGCAAAAGCCAAACACAAATGATGCCTTTGAAAAACTCAGCAGCAATGTCTCTTTCCAAAGATCAAAACCCCTTCAAAATGTATAAGATTTGTGAGGAGGTCACATAGGAATCATTTTAGAAGACATCTCTACCATGATTGTTCACAAAATAATAAAACATTGTTTAGCAGCTCTAGGTTTGAAGCAAAAAAATAAAAAATAAAAAAAAAATAGACCAACATAAATACAACATTTTTTGTTTTCAAACAAGACATGACGGCTCACTGGTAGAAGCTGGTCTGCTGGAGATAGTCCACTATTGTTTCCTTGGTTTTTGCAGCGTTTCAGTCCAGGTGATAGCGATAACACCAGTCTGAGATTACAGACCATAAATTTGACAACACACCTCTGTGATGTGCCAGTGTTCAGGATAAGAGCAATCTCCCACCCTGATATTCTGGGATCTGTTACTCACGAAACCTACAGGCAGTATTCTTACACTGGAGTTTTCCAGATTTAGTTGTGGAGAGCCATAATGACTGCATCCTCTGTTGACATGTTTGCTTGATGTGAGAGAGGATGAGACTCAAAACATCTGGTGATGTTCGAGGTTAGAATGACTTGGCATGTAGGGCAGGTGTAATTTGATTACCAAACTACACCTGAGAAAAGGTGTCACTGTTCAGGAGGAAATCAAATGTTAATATTCAACTACCCTTGATAAACAGACCTGTGCTTATGACAGCATGGACAGGAACAATCTTGAATGTATAGTGTGGTCTGCAATGATGTTACTTTCATAAACAGTATAGCAGTTTTAAAACATTAAAGTTTTGTGAAAAGAAATCTGGGATTGTGGCGGCACCTTTGACATACAGGCTGAGCTTTAAGTTTAAGAAAGCATTTGCTCTGCTTCTCTTACCATGAAACCTCCGGTGACATTTGGTTGGAAGACTTTGTCAAATGAGCACTGGGAGAAGGGACAGCTGTTGAAGGAGAAGACTTCAGACACGTTACCCAGACAGTATTCATAGTGTCCGCTGCCATGTACTGTCACAGAAGCATGAGGGTCGTAGGAGCTGGGTTTGTACTTTACTGTACATGGAGAGTCGAGTATACTGCTGAGCTTCACCGTCCTGCTGTGGTCTGCAGGATAGCAGGGGTGAGTGACAGACTGAGGGTAACCCTGAGACTGAGAAAGAGAAAACATTTTGAGTACAATGATCTTATATACATTATACTGGTGGTTTTATTGGAGAGGCTGACCTTAAAAATACATCAGTATAGTTAGATATGTTCCTCTCTACATAGCTGCTTGTTTCTACCTTAACTTGCAGCGGACATTTACTGAATTGAGTTCCTAGTAACTCATTTTAATGTGTGCCAGTTTTAAAGCCAGATACCTACACTTAAGTTATTCTATTATAGGAGTGAACATTTCTATATTACATAGCTAAAGTCTAATACTATGCATCATTTTAGACTGAAGCCAGGGAGAACCTGAAGTGGCGATTTCAGAAAAGGAGTTTCAGAAAGCATTGGGCCTGTTCCCTTCTTCTTCATTTCTGTGTGTATTTGGCAGTCTGTGTTCGCGTTATGACCCAAGTGGTTTGTTTTTTTTTTACTGTGGTTAGAAGAATAACTAAGTGACATTCTTTAAATCTCAGCATTTTGCTGATTGGCTCCTCTGCAACATTCCTGGTGCTGCTTAGAAAGTCTGGTTCTGGTAGCAGCAACATCTCAGCTCTATTCTTTGCTCCCTGTAGTCATTCTGTGTTTGTTGTGGCAAGATCTAAGATTTGGTTAGGCCTAGTGACTGGTTAGGATTGTTTTGGATAAATGGATTAGTTCATGTATAAAAGTGATTGATGTAAAATCCTGAAAAACAGTCATTTTGTGGACAGGATTTTTCTTTTGAGCTTTTCTTGTGATTTAAGAGAGTGACGTTACACTACCTCCATTATATGAGCCAGCAGTGTCATGAGGAACTGGTCCTTCCCATAGCACAGGAAGCTGTGTGTGTACAGAGTATACTCATGACCATAAAGGCGCAGCTTCATCAGATCGTCTTTGTTCTCGATTTTTTCCTCAGTAGCAAATGTTATCTGCGTGGACGCGCCACCCAGATCGAGAGCTCCCACTGTCGGTCTGCTGGGGCTGAACCAGTGCCCCTCAAAGCCATACTGCAAAGGAATAGTCACAAAAACCTGGCTTCATCCAATGTTTGCATCTCTGTTTTGGAAAAGTATTTACAAATTAAACTAATGCCTTACTGAATATATAAAGCCATTTTCAGAAAACTTGCAATACAAACGCTCTCATAATGTTATCAATTTGCTGGTAAAGTTTCACAGTGACAGCAATAACTGACTTCTAGTCTCCTCATAAATAATATTGCAGATTCCTACTGATTAAAACCATTTTAAAAGCTTCTGATTTTCACATTTACACACTTGGATACCTTAATAAAGTTCTCTGAGAGATAGTTAACTGTGACCCATCCATATGCCCCCTCTTCTTTGCCACTCAGTATGGCTGCTCCCCGGTAGTTGAAAGGGTAGGACTGGATTTTTTGTCCCACTTCCTTCAGAATCTGAGTGGACAGCTCTGGACTAGATAAACTGAACAAGGAAAAAACAAACAAACAAAACAAATATAATCAAGATTTTTAGTGATAAGACTTTCACCAAATCATTAGGAAGAATGATGGTCATGAGGATAATGATCTTTTTTTTTTTTTTACACTTCATTATAAAAAAAAAAAAAAAAGTAGTGTTATTTTTATGCCTTCTACTGTAAGCTTCAGGCATAAGTTTTAAAACTGCAAATCAGGGGTGTCAAACATAAGGCCAGGAGAGCAGAAACGCCCACCAAAGATTTACATTTACTTAATTGCTTCATAACAGAAAAGGCAAAGAAGAAATTAAATAACAAAGTTACTATAAGTACTATAGAACGTTATGATTTTTTATTTATTTATTTTTAATCTGTTCATTACCTCTGCATGAGACAAATATGCAGACAGGAACTAAAGGACAGATTAAAGTCAAAACTAACATTCCAGATATTTTCCGAGCTATAAGTCATCCTTATGAGGTCTTTAGATCTCCCAGTAAACTTAAATTAAAGGATTATTATTATTATGATTTTTAAAAATAGACTTTAGAATAAGCTGAAGTCAAGATTGTGTGTCACATTAAAGTTTAGCGTCAATGCTACATGAAAAACATTTCAGTAAACATTCATGCTGATACTCGTCAGTAAAACCCGCAAACAAAACAGCTCAAACTATAAAATGAGGTGGTGTATTTGTGTATGGAAATGCATTTGTGACAAAACAGCTTTTAAAACACATTTGCAAGAATCAAATGATTTACGCACGCATGCAAGTTAGACTGCGTGACTGTCCAGCTGTTTTCCGCTGCATATTTGATTGAGTTATGGTACACACACAAGGAAAGGATGCCTTCTTCCAGACAAGATGTTTAAATCCATACTTGATAGCTGCCTAAACCCAATCAGGCAGTTTTGCTGGCTAAACTGAAAATAAAAAGATGGTTTCCTGTCTGCAGGCAACTAAACCAAATATTTGAATACATTTAAAGTCTTCTCGATAATGCTTTGCATTTTCAACACTCATGCCTTCAATCTTATCTACATGTCTGAATGCCCCGTCACCATCCCCACTCAATGCTTTTAACTTTATAGACTTTGGTTTGACCCCATTGCTGCATGCCCTCCACCAGGCAAAATAGAACTGGTACAAATATAAAACATATCCTGCTCAGCATACAAGAGATAAACACATAAAACAACTTTGCACCGTCCAGTCAATTCTCTATGAACTTCAGTGTGTGGATATTGAGGGGATCTACAGGTTTTGAGAGACCCTCAGATGTGTTTCTCTTTCCAATAAGAAATGCAGAGGGAGGAGAGGCTCAGGTGCTTGCAGGTGGCTACAAACACTTTGAAGGTAATTTCCTTATTCTAAAATAACATAATACAGCCAAATTATCCTGAAACATGTGACTTCAGCCATGCCGCTAAAATAATCTGGCTAAAATGGTCTTAAATGAAGGATTACATTTAAGCAGCTCTTTTACAGAAAACACGTTATGATGGTAGGAAATTTGCAAGAGAGAAACTGAATCTAGGGGAGACCATTTTGTGTGGATACCTCTCATTTTCTGAAGCAGAAGGACCTCAGTCTATTATCCAGGAGTCAAACAGGGCTATTCACTGCATGCCAACAATTACACATTGTAGGTGGCAATATCATGAAGCTGGTTAGGTTTGTCCAGTGGAGTCATTACAACAAACAGTGCAACAGCTACTCTGAAAACTCTTAAACAACATTTAGCCTTTTTCACTTTTCTCTGATTTCTTCTGCACTGTAGAAACTTGCTATATTTGGCACAGAAATAATTATATTCCCAACACATCATTCATCTTGTTTAATGAATGTGTAAGCTGGTTAAAAAGGCCAGTATGGATTGCCATTTTAGCATTATTACAAGATTTACTTGGAACAGGATCAAAATTAAGGTGATACATAACTAAAACACATGGAAACAAAACAGACACGACTTACTGCAGAAGCCTCATGCCGGCTGTGGCTCCCAGGTACACAGGTGTGAGCTGGTGCTTGTCTTTTGGGATGCTCTTCACTGCGTGATCCAGACATGCTTCTAAGCTTTGCCCTGCTGCTCCCGGTTGACCTGCATAACTTGCAATTCCTTCACCTGAGCGAATGATGAACATGTCGAACAAACAAAATCTATTTGATAACATAATCAACTTGGTGTAATATTCACAAAAATCAATGTTAGCAATTGTGACCCATATCCTTGTGGTGTTGAAATACAAAACAATCCAACTACTATCCCAGCTTCCCAGCCAGCTGTATGAAAATCTACTGAATTGTGTGTAAAATTTTAAAATATTAACATTATCTAAAGTCACAGAATAAGTAAAGCAAGTTATCTGCATTAACTCAGAAAAAAAATGATTTGGGAAAAACACTTTATATTTAAATAAGAACGCATATTTCCTCCTCGAGACATCTTAGGATCATTTTATTCTGAAACATGTCAGCATAAACACCATGCTCATGAATGACAAGGGGAAAAAAGTTGTTTGGTTAACACAGGAATAAAAGCTTTTTACAGGGCAGGAGTGGCAAACCACAAAGCTCAACTCTGACTCGATCCTGACTCATGACTGTTGCTAAGCAAACATTTGCTTTGACATCAGTGCAGTGATGCAATAAAATAACTCATTCAGAAAAAACTCCATGCAGACTTTCCCACAACCAACTCATCATTAAGATTTCCACTATTTCTCAATTATCAACCAACTATATAAATTACTATGTGGTGTAATGAGTTTTACAGAGTGCTCTTCCATTAGATGAAAGGTGTACTGCATGTATATTGTTATGAAATAATGTGATTAACTACACCTAATAGGTTTAACATAAGAGTAGTTCATTTATAATGAATGAATAAAGTTATGTTGAAACTGGTTAGTCTTCTTTGTTAGCACAATAAAGGCTACTTCTCATTAGATCACTCAATCTTTTATCCTCCACAGCTGGGTTGTCAAGATTTAGGAGGACTACTGTTAACTGACACAGCGCACACAGGAAGATCCTGAAACAAACTTACAAGACTGGCTGAGAAATGTGATAAAAACTAATGAGAATGGATGGAAGAGGAATATGATATGGCAGCTAAGATAGCTAAAGATTTAAAACGACTAGCAGACACACTACTTAGCCGAAATTCAGCCTACAAATACTGGATACATGGCCTTCTGAAAATTCCCTCAGCTTCCACACCTTTCCAATACCGTGAATGAATCTTAAGCAGACCATTTCCTGCTGTGTGGGAAAGAACAGCTGCGGACAAACAAAACAAAACAATATCCTGACCTCTTTCTCCCAAAGTTTTTGTAAAAAATTGCAATTAAAAAAAGAAAGAAAGAGGGGAACCCCCCCCAAAAAAACGCCTTCAATTTCATTGATGTTTCAATTACCATTCAAACTTTGAGCATCTATTGTCCATATGCTATACAACTTTTGCATATACTTAAATATGACAACTTTTTCATTTGTCTAAATGAACTGCACCAGCTTCAAATTAACGTATGTGTCAAACAAGTCTGCACAATTTCCTGCAAATAATTGTTGCTTTAAGCACCCTTTGTTTTTCAAGCAAAACTCTACCAATGTTTTTGGTGTGGGAAGTGCTACTTATGATACCTACCCTCAGCGTGACATTTGCTATGCTGGGTGACCACGGCTGTGCCATTTTGCTTATTTGCTGGCCACTTGTATATGTATAAAGATGTGTGTGAGGATCCAGCATCCAGGACAATCCCATACTACAGAAAAGGGAAATTGAGGAGAAAAAGCAGTGAAAATACATTTTTTCCACCCTTTACAAAGATTTTTGTGGCAACCGCTTTGAAGCAGACCTCAACTTAATATAGCAGAGTAGCAAAAATGACTTTAAGGATCGTGGCAATGTAACCTTCACCATCTGGCTAGAAATGAGGACAACTGGCAATCATCAAAAGAGCCTTATGGATTTTATATTGTACAAGGTCACATGTTTGATTTGAAAACAGTGATTCAATTGAAGTTCTACTATAATCCAGCAGTATAAAATCTTTATAAAATGTCCTAACATGTTTTCGTCTTCTTTTAGCTGCTTCCTTTAGGGGGTTGCCACATCTGCCTCCATCTCACCCCATCTGTAGCACCCTCTCCGGTCACACTAACTCTCTGCATGTCCTTCATCCATGAACTGCCTCCGATTTCTGCGTCTGTTTTCCTACCTGGCAGCTCGTTTATGTATCCTCTCTCTCCTCCTGCACATGTATAAAATATCTCAGTATCCATAATACATTTTTATTTTATTTTAAATCAATTTGTGTTTGTCTATGGAGTCCTCTTAATGGAGTTGTGCAATGCAAATACTACATCAATCCATATTGCTTAAATAATACAAAGTTTTGGCCCTATGAGAAAAAATGAACAAATTCAAGGCTAATGAAAATCATTATTTTGAATGAGTCATTTCATCTAAAAATCAACATGGACCATCTGCTTGACCATCTCCGACCAACAAACCAAAGTTTGGACACAGAATAATTTCTGTGAAAGCCCCACTTTCAGGTTGTTTTATTTCATACTGAAATCTGAGGCAATGTTTGAAAATTAATGTCACACATACTATGAAAGATAAACCTGAATTTTAACTGGTTTTTGTTGCCTTCAAAATGAATCAGGATCTACAATTTGAGATACATACTTCAACACAAAAACAAGAGTAAAAAACAAACAACAACAACAACAACAGGCCTTCACATAGAAAAAACGAGATGAGGTAAAATTCTTACGTTTTTTTTAAAAAAAAAAAATACTTTTTTCAGCCAGTTTTTATCCTGGATTTGTATTTTTAGGTAAATCAGAGATGATCAGAAAAAGTTTTAAAAATTTGCAGATTTCAAATGGAATGACCTGAGTGTAAAATCCATAAATTGAGGAGTAAGACTTTAATAGCATAAAGCATTATAGTCAACTAAAATACATTTTAATCATTTTTCCTTACTTTTAGTTAAATGCACTTCATACACTCCAGTTGTGCTGCCTGCCATATAAACTGCTGTGTTACAATTGGCTTGCACAAACAAGTAGAGTAAGAACTCTGGCTTAAAAAAAAAAAACAAAAACAATTAGTATCTGCAGAAACAGAACTTCAGACATCATCTTATATGCCTGCATGTCACAAGACCAAGACCCATCATGGGTTACTTTATGGGTTATGTTTCACAACTGCATACGTGGTATGACATTTCAGTATATGGTTAGAGTGATTTGAAGACAAGCAAACAGCATCCCAGCTTTTTGGAAACGGAGTAATAGGAGGCTTAAGTATGAAAAAAAACAAACCAAAACAAGTAGCATGCCTATAATTTGTAATTCTAATAAGCCAAAACAATGGAGTCAAATTATATTTGGAAATTTCTTTACAGTGTGGGTGGCACAAGTTATCCTGAACTTGTAATATTAACACAGATTCAGCTGTGCTTCATCATAATTTTATGATCATGCTTTATGCTACAGTATATGCTCACAGCTGTTTGTAAAATGCTTTGTAGTATAGACATTTAAAGGAAAGGTTTATGCAGCCGACAGATTTCAATTCTGAGCTCAGTTGCAGGTCTGCGTTGTGCTGCTGTGGATCAGTAAATATCAAATCATTACAGCTTCAATGCCTTCTGAAAATAAAGGAACCTGGAGAGTGTGCTGAAATCTGGCCACGCGGGAACCCATATGACTGACAATGCAAAGGGAAGGGACCACACGCGTCTCATATCAGTGCTGCAGGTGAACGGCAACCATATACAGACATGTTCCTAATCACCCCTAATAATAATTCTTCATTACTGCTGTGCACTCGGCTGTGAGGAATCCCAACACTTGGCAAACAAAACACTCTAATTGTCTGTTCAGTTCTTTCAACACACTGTTGCATTTGTCTCCTCGGGAAAAAAATAGAAGAAAACCTTTGTGCTTGCTTTCTCAGACTGGATTCCCACGTTATTGCTGGGTGGAAGGGGAGCTACATTATAAAAGGGAACCATGGGATATTAAGCTGGTGACACAAAAATGAGGGATCAGCAGTAACAGAATTTGGTGTTGAATGGCTCTGCAGCAAGCCACTTGCAACTGACACGGCCCTATTAGGCTATAAAAATTAAGCATAATATAAAATGTAAATTCAAAACATGGGGCCATATTTACATCCAGGTATCAAGGCTAATGTCCTCGAATTCCCTGGTCCGACATTTATTTTTCTTTTTAATTTTATTTAATTTTATTTTTTTATGTACCACCTGTTTCACACCCTTCACACAACACACTGACACGCACCGATCCGACCTTACCCTGAGCTCAGGTTCCTCCAGAACATCCTCGGTGGAAATAGTAAGGAGCAGGATTCCGGCAAGTCCAAACACCAGCAGCGCGATGGGGACAAGGTGAGCAGACCGCTGAGCCATGAAGCGAAAGCGTGAAGCGCAACTCCTCTCTGCGCCTGCGGGACACTCAAGCGCCTACCTACTGTAATAGCGGCCAACTGGGAGAAATGGCTGGCTGCCAGATAACCGGAGGAGTAGTTAAAAAACACTGCAGAAGTGAGACATCCAGGAGAAAAGGAGTCTTTAGCTACCCAATCCGAACAGTGCATGCTGGATTAGTTTCCAGATCAGGCGGTGTGCCCATGTGTAAATCATTCGAATGATTTACTGATGATTAATTGAGAACACGCAATCCCGTATACGTCACACCAAGAGAGCAACAGCTACAAGTGCAAGCTTATAAGGAAGTATATTACGTAATATGTGAAAAGGTTAGTTATTGAAAAAAGTTATTTATGAGTTGTTTTTTTTTTCAATAAGGCATTTTATTCTTATCATAATAATAAAGCTGCAGTGTCAAACCTATGAAGTTTCCAAATGTATGTAAATTTGAAAAATGTTGCTTTTGTCTTAAGTTGCAGTCTGTTTTTAGTTTTTCCTGTCTGTGATTTATCAACATAAATTTGTAATATGAATATGTTTTGGTAAATATATCAGAAAAATAGCATGTCTGCCCAAATATATGTAGATAAAAGTCACCTGTCTTAGTGTACATTCAAACATTTCTTCACTGCTGATAGAGCTCCAGATTTGCCTTTCACCAGATGTCAACCCAACTTAAAATCAGTGAGTAGTGCTTCGTACCACCACCAACAAAAGAACAAAAAAAGGAATACCGTGTGGAAGAATATTGGATCAAGAGACTGGGAGCTCGTTACCAAAGGAACGCAAAGTAAAGACATCTTAGTTTTCCCTTTGTCACCTGTATTTAGATCAGTGAATGCAAAACACCTGAGGTATCATGTCAGTCATGTGGATATTTGTCATAATGCAAAATGCAAAGTGGATGAGCCACCAATAAATCGGTAGCAACTGTGTGATACTCTAATGTCAAATGGTCCCAAATCTCTGAGGAATGTTTCCAACAACTTGATGAATCTATGCATGTGAGACTCGCTGCTGCAGCTCAGCCAAAGGTCCACCTTACCAAAGCCAGATGTCAACACCTGCGCCTGCTGTATCTCATATCAAACGTGGCTCAAGACACATATTTACCAGTTCCACAACTGCCATAAATGCCAAAATGAGCCCAGATTAGATGCAAATAAGTCCACTATATTCTTCATCTGCTACATTGCCTTGTGTCCTGTATTGTATTTTACTTGAGAAAGCAAAGTCAGACCTGAATTTAAATGCCAGCCAAGTCCTTTTCAATGTGCCTCTACTGAATGGGAATGGCTCCAAGGCTACTCGAACCATGGAAGGAAAAATGTTTTGCCATGGCCAGAGCTGCAGAGAATGGAGTGGCCTGCTATTCATTTATATTCAGCAGTTAGCTTGGGTGGAGCTACTGACTAATTGCTGCTCAGGCACTTTATTGTTAATTCAACAGAGAAAGGAAAACATATGATTCATAATTATTCAATCATGAATGGAAATGGGTGGTTTAAACTGACAGAAATCCTAGTTTCTGGACTGAAGAGCTGCAGAGCTGGTTGTTTTCAACCAGTATTTGCATTTGAATAGGTGCAGCCTTAAACCCGACTTGCAAATTGTTCTCTTTTGAATGATGTCTTTCCACCAGAGGCCTATACTTTGTTTGTACAAGTGCTTTTTTAAAGTCTATTTTCTCTGAAATCCTTTTTTTTTTTGACAAGCTCTAAATTTAGCGGAATACATAATGAGTTATTTTGAAAGAGTTTCTGAATATCATCTCTTCACATTATCACTCATAGCACAAATTGTTATTGCTGCATCATTCACTGTCAATATTCCATATGAGTTTATCTGTCTTCAGGAAGATGTGAGATGTAAATGGCACATGGAATAAATGCAGCACTTTAATGCATATAATGTATCACATTATCATTCCAGTGACTTCACATCAATAGACACGACACATTTATTGCCATTGTGACAAATAATAAAATACCATTATCTTTCCATTCCTTGCTTTCCCAACGCATTCACAAATAGAGTGATTAAGCCGCTGGTAATAAATGTATGCCTGTCTAACTTCGATAATGAGCCAAGACCATAGAGGCCTAAATGACAGATATGAGTAAATGAACAGATATTGTTTTTCTTCCTTCAAAGGGTATGTAATCAGTTCTGTCCATTTGTCTCTCTGTCTGTTTGTTAGCAGTCTGGGACTCTGTTATGTCTAATTGTTGAATGTTGTCATTATGTTCTTAAATTTGTACAGTCTTGGTTCAAGCAGTAGGATCAAGACATTCCTTTGATCCTGA